GTGTTGTTCCACCACGGGGAAGTCCACGAGACAACGCTAGCGACCAGTTTCTTGGAGTTCCCTATGACGCGCCCGGTTGGGTCGTCGATGAGCCGTCCAGGACATCGAAGACTTGGCAGGGCCAGCCAAAGGTCCGGGGCTCGGCAAAGCGCGATGCACGCTGGTTGCTGATGTGGGGGAGGGGGGGGGGAGGATCTGGTGGGCACAGAAGGTCTATTTTGCGACCTCCTCCTCTTGGGGTATTGGCTTTGCAGGGTTCTTGGTTGCAAAAATCGACTCCAGGCGTCCATGGGCGGTGGGGGGGGGGGTTATGTTGAGAGGTCCGTGCAGGTTTGAGGGAGCCCGTTGCTGAGGCAAGAGGCGGCCAGCGTCGCCTGCCAGGCGCGGGTTGGCTGCTGATGGTTTGGGTTGGGCGGAAGAACGGATGGGTGAGGGCTGGCTGGCGTGCTGACGCAAGTTTGATGAAACAGGGCTGGGGGGCTGGGGGGCGGTTGGGGGGGGGGGGTTGGTTGGGGGTTTGGGGCATTAAAGGAAGGGGGTTGCAAAATAGACCCCAAGTGTCCACCATACCGGCAGGGGCAGGGCAGGGCAGGGCAGGGCAGGGCAGGGCAGGGCAGGGCAGGGCAGGGCAGGGCAGGGCAGGGCGGTGTGTGTGTGTGTGTGTGTGTGTGTGTGTGTGTGTGTGTGTGTGTGTGTGTGTGTGTGTGTGTGTGTGTGTGGTGTGTGTGTGTGTGTTTGTGTGTGTGTGTGTGTGTGGGCGCTTGCTTTCGTGCAAGGTACCTTGATCCGGCGGATGATCCAAGGAGCAGCGAGCGCTGTGCTCGGCATGGGGGGATGCTCGAGATCGGCCCATTGACGGGCAATTCAGGCAGAGGAAGTGGCAGATCCCCTTGTTACACCGTGACACCCCTGATCAGTCATATTCAGCGGCTTGCACAGGTCAGGGGGCCTGCAGTTCTTGATATGCGCAGCTCTGCGTCTGGCCAAACTGTGTCTGGCTCAAGCGAATCGGCTGGAGACCGCCCATATGGTCAGCAACTTGGCTAGCCAGTCCCGGGACTTGCATTCGGTTTGCAGCTGGGCGGCTTTTCGGGCATGACTTTGCGTCGGGCTTTGTCCGGGGTCTTGATCAGCCTGCTGTGCTCAAGACAGCCTGTCCTCTGCGGCTTTTCTGGCCTCACTTTGCATTTGGGGGTTGATCAATGTTCCTGAGCCCGAAATGACCATGGGTAACACATCGTCTTTTTAGTGGTTTTCCCCAATGGTCATCCACTGGCCTCACGCCCGCCCCCAATTCAGGCCACTGATGGAGTGCGCTGCATACTTTGGGGCCGATGCTGACGACAAGGTCTGTGATGCGTTGGTAACTTCCTTGCTCAAGGCAGGGGTGCAGACAGCGGTAGATCTTTGTGACATTTTTCCGAGGTTCCGAGCCATTTGCCTTTCTCGGAACGACCTAAAGTGGCAGTTTCAAGGGACACCGCCAGTGAGTTGATCAACATTTGAAGGGGAAATCCAGTGACCCCTGTTATAGCCTACATTGATCTCGACATATTTTTCTAACAGAGCGCTGATCCCGCTCGGCTTGAGCCGACGCGAGGATGAAGATGAGCAAACAGATGTGCCGGAGGAACGCAGCGCGGAAATGGCGCTGAACGAATCAGAAGAGGAGCGAGCGGCCCTAAAACAAAGCCATTGCCACTCTCAAGGGGAACAATCTGAAACGGTCTCTTCAAGGGATGCCGCTTCCCTTGACTGCTACTGGGTTGGAACTTTAGACTTTAACTTTTTGGAAAATCAAAGGTTTTTCCACTAAATTCCCCAAAAAGCTAAAAACAGCAACCAAGTATTCCCCGCTGTCCGATGCTACATGCTCCTTGTCTACATGGAAAGCTCCCAGCCCAGGAGCGTCGCTCCCCCTCCGGCGAGGCCGAGAGGCGCAGACCACCAGGCCCTCCGAGCCCCGTGAATCGTGGGGGGGGGGGGGTCCTTCACTTATTGGGCCAATTTTCAGGAACATGCCTCGATCAGTCCGAAACGGTCGCCATGAATGTCTACCTCTGATTAAATAAGCTCCCCCCCCCCCCTCAACAACTTCCCTCCCCAAATAGTTCTCCCAACTTGATCATGCCTCGATCATGCCTCGAGCAATCCGAAACGGTCGCCACTGCTTGCATTTTTGCCATCGCGAAGAACGAGGCAGGCCCGGGCCTGCACTGCAGGCCTCATTTTGAGCACCTCATCTCCCGCCCTGCACTGAGCGGGTCAAGGGGTGTCCTTTCGTTTTCTTCCATCAAGACCTCGGGCCCCGATGGCGGGATCGGTCCCTTTCTCTTCTCGCTCTTCTTCCTCTCTCTCTCTCTCTCTCTCCCCTCTCTTTCCTCTCTCTTCTCTCTCTCCTCTCTTTTTCTCTCCCTGTTTTCTCTATCTCTCTCTGTCTCACTCTCTCCCTCTAGCTCGCTCTCTCCCTCTCTCTCCCTCTATCTCTCTCTCACTCTCTCCCTCTATCTCTCTCTCTCTCTCACTCTCTCCCTCTATCTCTCTCTCACTCTCTCCTCACTCTCTGTCCTCCCTCCCTCCCTCCCTCTCTCTCTCTCTCTCTCTCTCTCTCTCTCTCTCTCTCTCCTTTCTCCTCTTTCCCTGCCTCTCTCCCTTCCTCCCTCTATCTCTGTCTCTGTTTCTGTCTCTGTCTCTGTCTTGGTGTCTCTGTCACTTCTCTGTTTCCTCTACCTCCTCTCTTTCCTTTCTCTTCTCGCTCTTCTTTATCTCTCTCTCTCTCTCTCTCTCTCTCTCTCTCTCTCTCTGAGGCCTCACTGGCTCCGGGCTACTTTGGCAACAGCTTCCGCGCGGGCTTGAATCTGGAGGCCGAAAGCAGACTTTCAGCCGCTGTGGCTTTTGCAACCGGAAGACGGGGATGTTCGGAACCCCAGCTTTCTGAAAGCGGATCTTGCCTTTTGCAGACTGCCGAAATGACGACTTTCGGATGAATCTGGAGAAGCATTCTTTTTCCGGGGTGGTTCCTCTATGAGTGGGGAAACCGTTCATTTTGGGGGGTATCACTCTCTGATTGGGACCATCCCCCACATACGCCCCCCATGTTAAGCCACGGTGGTGCGCCAGGACCAAGTGGAAGACGAGGACGAACAATCAAATGATCCGCTGGGACAGTTGGCTTGGAAATTATATCGTATATATACACATTTGGCTTGAAATGTTTTGAAAACTACTACACTTCACCAGTCTTTGCTTGATTGTTTGTTTTTGTTCTGTTCACTTTTCGTGAGGCAAGAGCTCAAGGCTCAAGGTTGGTTGGTTTGGCAAACATCCTCAGAGCTATGCCTGCCTTCGACTCACCGACTTGCGCACCCACCCATGCGCAAAACACACACACACACCTCACATACACATATATTCATGCCTCAACATATGACATGTATGTATGCACACGACATGTATGTCATGTAGATTTTTCTAGATCTTTTTCTCACCCTCCCTATTTGTATGACACATAGATATGTGTGCATATGCGTAAGGTGACATGACGCGCGATGCCATGTACTGTAAAGTTTGTAATGTAATGCTATGTAATGTAGCGTATCGCAACGCGGCATAAGGGTCAGTGCGTATGTACTGTAATACAACGTAGTGCAGTGTAGTAAAAGTTCAACGCCATGTGACGCGTATGCAGAATCAATGTAATGCAATGCAATGTTGTGTAATGTGTGGTATGCATGATATGTATGGTATGCATCGTAAATAAATAAAGACATATATATATATATATATATGGTATGTACGGTATGCAGCAGGTGCAGATGCATGAGATGTATCTATGCATCTATCTCTATTCAGCCTCAAGCCCTTAACAAGGCCTTGTTAAGGGCTGAGAAAATTTGATTTCTTATTTGCCCCCCCCCTCCCAGCCCCCTTCCCTTTTCCAGCCCCCTTCCCTCCCCCCAGCCTCCTCCCTCCCCCCAGCTTTCATGAAAGCCTGTGTGCTTCTTCAGGTCGAATATGCAGGTGCCTGCATGCCTACATCTACTTTCTTTCAAAGCTGTCAAGCAACAAACGCAAGCTGCAACTTGGAGCACTTCTCTGCTTAAACAGGGCCTTATTGAGGGCTTATTCGGCTTCCTCCCTCTCCCCCTTGCCCAACCTATCTCCCCGCAACCCCCCCCCCGGCCCCTCCCCTAGTCCCCCCCCCCCCGGTCCCCCCAACCTCCCCCTTCCCCACAACCCACGCATGATGTTCGATGCTTTTCAAGGAGCCCTGCCTCCCCAACCCCCCCCCTTCCCCACAACCCCCCCATGATGTTCCACGCTTTTGAAGGAGCTGGACGGCGGCATTGACCTGGACCTCCTCTTCCAGCCGCCCGCCGCGGGCCCGGAGTACGAGCGCTGGCTGGCGCAGCTGCCCTCGGTCGGCTCGGCCAAGCACTTCGACGGCAGCTGCGACAGGCAGAGACGCAGAGACGTCGACCCAGGGGGGGGGGAACTGGGGAGGGAGGGGGGGAGCGCGGGGGGGAGAGGGGGGTGGCTCTCTTATGAAGCCCTTAGTAAGGCCTGACAAAGGGCTTATCCTAGGCTTATCAAAGGGGTGTTGCTGAAAATTTGGGACTTCCAGGTGAGGTGGTTCACTTGACTGCTATTGGGTTGGATCTTAGACTTTAACTTTTTGGTTGAAATCAAGGGGTCAAACCACTAAACCCCCTAAAAATTAAACTTTCTGCAGGGGGTCAACAGCAACCAAGTTCAAAGCGGAGTTGCTCACAATTGGGGACTTTCCGGTAAGTGGTTTCCTTTTGGTTTCCCTTTGCACAGCTAAGGGGGCTTTTGTGGTGGGCTTTCAGTGTGGGACCATGTCAGCCCATGCCAGGTGCTGCTTCCACCCCAAGGGTCGGTGCCACAATGGCTACAATTGCCAGCATTGCCACTATGACCACGAGAAGCGGAAGCGCAAGAGCAAGAAGCGGAACGACCGGGACTCGGAGACGCGGTCCATGCCTCCCACGCCCGCGGCCCCGCTCGAGTTCGTGAGCGAGCCTCTCCTGGGGACTTACCCCACCTTGCCACAGGACATGGCGCTCTCGCCCTATGGCTCCTGGTACCCCGTGCCCGAGTTCTTGGGGGAGGTGCCACCGCAGTGGCAAGACTACATCGCCAGACTAGAGGAGGAGAGACCGGGCCTGGGGCGGGTTGGATTCCAGGGTTCCACCGAATGCTTGTTCAGCTCCAAGCATTTTGGGGGTTCCTGAGTTGCGAATGGGGGGGAACCACTCTCTGAGCTCCAGACTCCAAACCAGCAAGCTGCACCAGCCAGTTGGAGGCAGCTGAGTCTCACCCCAGCGCGCCCCGTCACCCACCCCCTTGATGAGGAGAACCGCTACCTCCGCGGCATGCTGCAGCAGTACCTCCCCCCGCCTGGGCTCCCGCAGGGACCGCCCTGCGAGCCGAAGCCGGGACCGCCGATGTCGCCGATGTCGCCGAGCGCTGCGCCGTTTTGCCCACCGTGGAGGTCAGAGATTCCAGGCCGGTGGAGCGGGTTGTCTCATAAAAGGTCCTGCCAATAGCCTTTTTTCGGCCTCGCAAGGGGAAAAAAAAAGCCCAAAGGGGTAAAAAAGGATGCACCCACGCTTCGCGGCAAGCTGGCCAGGCCTCTGTTTGGGGAGGCACTGATTGGTTCAAACAGGTTTGCCCTAGCCTTGCTTGTGCTTTCCCGCATGCGGCGCCGCGGCAGAAATGTTTGCATTCTAAATTTCAGCCTGTCCCATGATTTTCTCCAGGAAGCTTGGGATGCTTGAGTTCTGAGACGGGAGCAGTTGCTGCAGCCGCTGCAGCAGAAGCTTTGGCCTAGTAGGCACTAGCCACACCTCCTGCCAGAGAGTCCTAAGCCCAGAGTCATGTCAGTCATGTCAGTCAGGTGAGTCATATGAGTCACGTGCTTGTTTGCTGTTTCTCTTGACATCGCTTTGTTTTTGTGCGCGGTTGAGACTGCTTGCCGCGTTGGTCCTGGCGCCGACGCGCGCAGTCTGGCAGAGGTGGATGCTCAAGAGTGCTCCCTTCCATTCTTCGTCGGAAGGCTCCAGAGAATTTCTTGGAGCCAGACTCAATCGTATTAGCGTGTTCCGGAGGGCCAGAGACATGCTCCAAACATCGTTTAGAAGTCGAGTTGACAGTGGATTGCCAAAAGTTTGAGGTTGCGCCCTCTTTAACAGTCACAGCAATCGCTTGCCGGCCGAGAAAGGGGCCCTGCCAGCCAGATGAAGGGCGCTGAGTGGCACGGGGCGGTCCTTCTGAGGCTGAAGAGGCAAACGCGTTACAGGAAAAGGGGGTGCTGGGCGCGGGATTTTCGAGCAACTTTGCAACCACGCGTGGAATTGCAGGACGGGCAGGACGGGCATGGTGCGCGGAGTTTATGTTCCTTCCCCATTTGCGTGCCATCGCCGGACTGCCCAGGAAGTCCGCCGCCACATGGCAGCCAAAAACCTCGGAAGCTGTGAGGCAGAAGCTGGGCAGTGTTCAGGTGACATGTTGGACGTCTGTTCAGCGGGTTTGCCACTCGGAAGGTTTCTGAACAGTTTAGACAATTAAAGACAAGGCCTGCGTCTTGAAGTAGTTTCCGAGTTGCAGAAATCCACTTGGTGAGGACCAGGGCCGTTCGAATGCCTTGGTAGCAGCGGGCATTTTGCAGCTCGGGGCCCAACCACTCCCCCCCTTCTGGGAGGCCTTTGCCACAAGAGCAGCCTGCCCAGGCTGGCCGTCATCTTCAGGGAAGCCCCCATTTTATCAGAAGCTGGTTGGTCCTTTCAGTTAGGTGCGTGATTCAATCCGCCAAGCACACCAGCTTATGGATGAAGCCCATGAATATAGGTTGACCAACTGGTGCGAATCGGAGCCTCAAATCCGCAGGACGCCGGCCGTTCGATCACCTCATCAGAAGCTGAGGATGCCCAATGGGAGGACGCTTCTTCAGCTGTCGGTACTTGGTGGTAGTCCGGTTGCACATTTTCTGAGAATGAACATGAGCGGAACCCCGGAGGAATCAACGCTGGTTTACAAATGGGGGGGTGTCCCTGATTTTAGTGGGGCATCTCTATTCTAGGAGTCCGATTAGTTGGCCCCTTCTGATGATTGCTCCCTGCTTCTTTTTTAACGCGTCTAGCTTGACCCTCCATTTGCCCGCAAACACCATGTGGCGCCAGACAGAAGCAGAGATCGCGAGAGGTTTGCAAGGCTGGCGGGTAAAAGGAAAGCAATGTGGGTGTGCGTCTTTTTGAGCCTGGCTAGTCGGGTACCCTTCTTGGTTGTTGTAAAGGGAACAACACACGAGAGAGCCACAAGTTTTGGGCTCCTAAGTATTTTGAGCCCTTATCTCCGGGTTGGTGAGGGAAACAAAAACTAGGTCGCCCAGTAGTGCCCTTTTACCCTTTTTGGGGGGAGGCTTCCCCAACTAAAATAGACTTTTTCGCTAACCTTTATTCTAACGTCTCTACTGGAGGACCTACAAAAGGAACGCCACCCATTCTGGGGGGCTTCCAGCCTGTGGCGGCCGCATGCAGGACTTGGCTGCCTTCGTGGCCGTGGAAGTGCTCACGGTCTGCCACCCGGAAAGGGAACAGGCCATGCACGTAGGTGTCCTTGTTAGGGTGAGTTTGTGTCAGCAATGGATGGTTAGTTTAGAAAGAAGTTGATGGTTCGGTTGGCTAGAAATGGATTGTTTTTAGGGTTAGTTTGAAGAGACATAGATGGGTTCCACTGGTTTAGACTGGTTGTATGCCCCATTTGCAAGGGGCCATCTACTTTTCCAAAAGGTCACCTATGGCCACGCAGGCCCTATCTTTTTTCTCTGATGGAGGCCTGGGGTATCTTGGGTCTTGCGTACCCCTCATCTGGGTGAAGTCTGTGTCCCCAGGTCACCGCGCCCAAGCGCCGGCCTCGCTCGGTTTGTTTTCGGGTGCGTTCCATCAGATGCTCCCGGTGAACAGGGAGCATTGCGTTTCATTAAGTTGGCAATGCGGGCATGCATCTTATCATGATGTTGATATGCCCTTTTCTGGGTATCATTTAGGTGGGGATGCATGTCCGGTGAAGTTTTCTGGACAGATGGGTGCAGACTCAGTTTCTGAGTCTGCCCCGGCGGCAGTGCGGTCACCCGTGGCAAGCCTTTGGTTGAGCACGATGTCGTATGCTTCGGCTTGGGCATAGCTTAGAGGGGCCTGGCGCCATGTCGGCAGGCGCTGTTGACTCTCGACATGCAGGTTAGTCACTTCCATTTGCTTAAGAACCTTTTGTTTATTTTCCCTTGTTGGTTTTAAAGGGAGTTCATACTACCGGGCATATTTTTCCATTTTTACCTGGGGGCTTAACTTAAGGTCACAATCTCATGGCACACCAGAAGGGCTCGCTGTGCCGTATTCCCCATTTTTTGTTTTGTTTTTCCCCCTCAGCCAAGGACGAATGGCTGCAGCAGTATGTCGAGAAGCATCGCAGGCTTCCGGCCACCCCTGCGGCTTGAAGAACGGGATTGGGAGCGGGACGTCGCTTCTTCGGACCGCGCAGGTCAGCTCCCCCCCAAAACGCCGGGGTCGGTGGCTCTAGACAAAAAAAGCCGCCGGGCAGGTCCTTTTCTGCGTCTTGCCTGTTGGTGATTTTCGACCTTTCGCAACTCAACTGGTTTGATGGAGCCGGAGGCTTGGGGCGGCACCAAGGCCAAACGCGGAGACCCCAAAGGGCAAAACGGGGGTGGGTCGGACCCTCCAAAAACATCGGGGTCGGCTTTTCCTCCAGTTGTTCCTTTGAAAGCCACCAAACAAAGGGGTCCCAACAAAAAGACACCCAAATAGACCAAGTGTCCCCTCCGCTCCCTGAAACATGAAATCGATGGGGGGCAGTTCCACTTCCCCAGGCCCCTTCTTCCGCTTCACAGTGTGGCCCACTGGTGGTGTTTGGTTTTTCTTCACAGCCCTTTTGGGTACCCCCCCAAAATCGATGGTCATTAATAATGGGGCTAGTATGGTGCTTTCACCTGGGCTGCAACCCGGAAGGATTCCTAGGCAAAAACACGGTTTGACAGTGACCTTGATAATAATGACCCCATAGGTGCAATTCTGGCGCGATGGTGAACGAACTCCTGCACCACTTTGAAACGGTTGAAACCAAAACGTTTCTTGGTATTTGCATGAAACGAATCCTTGGGTTCTGAACGGCGCCTAGGCTTTCGCACCCATCCGCACTTCCAAACTGGGGGAAGCCCAGTTTGGGACCAGGCGTCGCAAGAAAGAAGAACAACAGCCTGCCGAGGACCAGCTCTGCAGCTTCGCGCGGAACCACGGCCACGCGCTGCGCTACTCTGCGGCCAAAATGGCCATGGAGGCATCCACTGAAGTCGTCGAACGTCGTCGAAATTGTCGCCGAGGGCTGAGCTCGGCGGGTCGTTCGGCAAGCGAAGACACGTGAATCCACACGATGTAACTAAATACCTTGACCAAATCAAGTATTCCAAGCAAGGAACCAAATAAATCAACAAGCACACAAACATATTAAGGAATTATTTGTTTATGTGGATATACACATCTATATATGAAGAACGGTCAAAAACATTGATACTCTGAACATGCACATGGCAAACGATAGGGGACTCTCAAAAAAACGATACCCTTGGAGACGGCTGGAAACGCTGGAAAACAATAGGGGGCTCTCAAACTAAGTAGCGAAACGGCCGCAAGTAAGTAATTCTGACCGTGCCTCATATGTATATGTGCACATTGTATCATGTAAGGAACCCCTGAATATAAGGTATTTTAGATGAAACGGCGCTGCCAAGTTTGCGCGGGCGGTAAGTACACTCGGGCCTCCCGAATTTGCCACATCTGGAGGATGGGACATTTGCCGGGTAATTGCAACCCGTTTTGTTTGGAGGCGTCGTCGTCAAGAGCAAGTCTCCTGGAGCCCTTGCTGGCTGAGCACTTGCACGCGGCAAGCCCATCGGCTTCAACGTCGTCAACTTCCTCACCAGCACGGGCGCCCCCGCCCTCGCCGCAGCCAGCGCATCCAGCGCGGCCAGCGCAAGCACAGGCGCAGCCGCGACAAATGGATGGCCAGAGCTGGCTCCAACTCTTCATAGACACCTACGGGCACCGGCCGGCGGCCAGCCAGCTCAGCCACTTCGTGAGGAACCGTGGCATGGCCTGACTTAACACCTTGTCCTTTTGCCCTTTCGGGTTCCCTTCCTTTGTCCTCTGAGCGATCTGTGTGGCCAAGGTGGGGGGACGTTGACGTACATGCAGTGCCAGCACTTGATCGACCCCCCCATCAGACGCCACGCCGGCACGCCGGGCGCGCCCAGTCAGCGGACCGACCTGGCGCGGCTGAGCCTTCTGAGCTCGGCGCTGAGCTCCGTTCTGAGCCGCCCCGAGCGCTGGCAGGAGCGCCGTCGCTGGGTTCGCGCGTGCGTGCGCCGCAAGCCTTGCGCGATTTGGACGGAGTGTACCACCAGGTAGACTACCAGGTAGCCAGGTGTGGCTGATGTCCCCCAAAAAGAAAACCCAGCGGTTCAAGTCTCCACCTTGAGGTAGTCAACAAACGGAACCCTGCTCCCTTTAGGTTGTTTCAAAGGGACCCAAAAAAGCCACCAGTCTCAAGACTGAAAAGAATGAGCTGCGGTTGTTTCATTTATGTTTTTTGGGAGTGGGTCGTTGCTGGCGGGCAGCTTTTCGCGGGCAGCTTTTCGCTTTTCTTCTCTCTCCGGCCATGCATGGGTGCCGGGTGCCTCGGGTCCGGTTTCCCGCATGGGCCAAGGGTTCTCTCTCTCTCTCTCTCTCTCTCTCTCTCTCTCTCTCTCTCTCTCTCTGCCGTTGCGTTCAGAGGGTCTTGACTCAGCAAAGCAACGAGAAAGGTGCCCACAGATATTCAGGGGCACCCAAAACATGGCCAAGGGTTACGGGACCCTCTGTTGGGTTCCATGTTCGTGGACAGGAGGGTAGACATTTGGCTTGTGGCTTCTACGTTCATATTAAGGGCGGGCCGCAGATTCATCCGATCGAAGCCTGAATCTACTATCGCCCCCCCATCTTTTTCAGCAAAGAAGACCCTTTAATGAACATCTGGGGGTATGAACGTCCACCGACCACTTGAGGTGGGTCCCTGTTAAACTTCGCAGCTGCTAAGGCGCACTTAGAGGGGCAAGAATATTTGGTGAGTGGCTAGGAAGCCTGGTTATAACCCACTTTGGAGACTTAGAGCCATGGTAAGTGGGTTATAACCTGGCTTACGATCCACTTACCTGACGTACTCTGCCCCTTTCAGCATGGATTTGCCTTTTGCTTCTGCGAGGACGCCATGGAGATCAACCGCCACTACCGGCGCCTCACTCGGATGATCTTCACCACGCTGGCGCTGGATGAGGAGGCCTGGCTTCCATTTGCTTAAGTTTTTTGCTTTTTAAACCCTTGTTGGTTTCAAAAGGAATGTATCACTACTGGACATATTTTCGTTTTTTTCCGGGGTCTTAACCAAATGGAGGCTGGAGGGGAAAATGGGGTCTCCGAGTGGAAAGCTATGGCTGGGTGTAGAAAGATTTGGCGCAGGGTGATGGGTAGCCAGGGTCCCTTCTTCTTCCGGTCCTTTCTGGTGCAGCGATGTCCGCCCTTCCGGCCGTTATGACCATTTCTCTTTTCCCTGTCTGATGTGGGGTCTGCGAGTCGCCCAACTCCGGTTCGGTTTGGAAGGGTTCCGGGGTTGGGGTGCTGTTGGGGATGCCTGGGCTGATTTGAGCAGCGCCTGAAGCCCTGATGATAGGTGGTCAAAGCAGGTTCTATAGTGCTGCCGCGAAAGACAAAACGCAGGCCGCGACAGCTTGCGAAAGCGAAAGCATATATTCTGATGATTGGGAGTTGTGTTGTTGCAAGGATTTTACTCTGGCGCATGCGGATGGAGGTCAAAGCTCTCCGTGTCGCAATTTGTTTTTCTCCCCTTGATTTAGCTGAGCACATTTTCAGATCAAGAAAAAACACGTTTTCCGCGAAAGCTCCGCGAAGGCAAGCCCCCCCATCCCCAGAAAGGGGTGCCCCATTCCAAGCTGATGTTGCTGCTTCTACTTTGCGCTCAGCTCCAGGAAGCTGTTGAAATGTACCGCGGACGTGTGTTTGGCATGCTTCGCAGGGTGAAAGCGCCGCAGAGTCGTAAATGCATCGCGAAATGGTCCGCAAAATTAAGTTCATAGCACCGCGAGTTTTCGGCACTGTTCATTTTGGAGGGGGAGCGGGGAACGGGACCCTCAAAAGAAGTTCCTTCGCTTCAGGGCTCCGCTTTTGAAACGTACACACATGAATTCTCCAAGTTTCCGCACACTGCCAACGAAATGGAGGATGTTTACTCGGCAAAGTGGTTTCATGGCGGCCGTGCTTTCGGGATGGAGGTACCATCCTTGGACACCCAGCTGCCGCCGCAGATTTGCAGGGACCTCGAGAATCGCCTGATGCAGGTGGCGAAGCCTCGAGAGGCTGTGGTTGTCAAAACCGTTTTGGGATCCCATTTTGGTTGGTAGGTGAATTCACCACCCATTTTAGAACCCATTTCATTTTAGTGGTCGGATTGAATCGCATGTTCACTGGCTAGCCGATTTGGATTTTGATTTTAGCCCATGGCCAGGTACCCGATGGCTTCACATGCCCCATATGCCTCAGCGAGGCGTGGGAGGTCGAGGAGACCTCAGAAACGACGCCGGAGTGGGTGCAGCTCCCTTGCCAGCATACCTTGCACCGCGCCTGCTACGGCCAACTGGTGCGCCACAACGCACTGCAGTGCCGGTGTCCGCTGTGCAGGTGTGACTTGCTGGAAGCGGCGTGGGTCTAGGCCAAAATAATTTGCCCTTGATCTGGGTCTGTCTCTCTCTTGTTTCTGGTGATGCCCTTTTTGGGGTCGGTTTAAAGGGAGGCAAAAAGGCGGAGAACCAAAAATCCCTCAATCTTAAGACAAACCCATCTGCCCCGAGCTTGGGGCCCGCAGCTTTTCTTCGCTCGCCTCGAAAGGAATGCGTGCGAGCGGTGGTCCAAGCGTAGCGAACCGGTAAGCTTCGGACCGGCCGGCGAAAAGTTGCTTGCGCTCGACTTCCTTGTGGTTTCCTAGGGGACCAAAGCCAGTGCAGAGCATGAGAAACGGAATGGCCCCCCATTTAAACCACCGCTTCCTGGTGTGTTCCCTCCTAGGGGGCCCAAAGCCTGGGTTCATTCCCACCTTCCCCACTTCTCGCAGCAAGAACTGCCGGGGGGCGGCTGGCTCACCGTGTTTTTGGCTCCCCGTGCCCCGCGCCGGTCACAGTCGAACAAAAACCACCGCGAGGGGAGCGGCATGCGGGGCGCCGAGGTCTGGACCTGTGGAGCTGGCGGCCATTTGCGACGGCCTCGGCATTCCTCTCTTGGGGCGATCGATTCCGCGGGGCGAAGCCGTTCCTTCCGTTTCGGAGGCGCGATCAGCCCGTGCGTTTTTTTTCTTTTTTTTTTTTTTCTTCTCTTTGTTTCTTCTTCTTCTTTGTTTCTTCTTCTTTTCTTCTTTTCTTTTTTCTTTTCTTCTTTTTTTTCCTTTTCCGGCGGCACGGTTCAAGTGTTTTGCGTGTCGTGTTTTTTTGGAGTTGGTACCCTTTCTTACAGGGGGACCAACTGGAAAACCACCAATCTAGTGACGTGTTCCCCTGCGTTTGGTTTGAAACCCAGTTTCTTTCTTCTTTCTATTTTGCGGGGGCCGACGCTTTTTTTCGGCTCCAGCCTTCGGGTTCGCATCTCTCCGGGGCCCCGACTTCGGGCGCATGGAGTCAGCAACTTGTCGAAATTTGGAGTTGCTGTGCCGTCTAACGAAGTGAATAGCTGATTGTTGGCCCGGACGCGCTGGTTGCCGTTCTGGGAGGCTACTTTGCTTTTAAGAGGGAACGCATGTGCACGTCCATGTTTGTTTGGCATGTGTGTGTGTGTGTGTTTGTTGTCCACGTCTTGAGTTCAGCTTCGATCCTTGGCTTTCTTAGGCATTGCATGAGCGCAGCGATGCTCCAAGCGCGGGGGCGCAGTGGGGTCATGATTTTGCTTGTTTTTCGGGCTTGTCCAAGTCAGAACATGGAATCGGTTGTTTCCCTTTAGTCCACCGCGAGCTTTTCAAGCCGCCCGGGTCGCTTTACCTCATGCTTTACAAGACAAGTGGGCGGCCTGCTTGCCACAAGCCGCAGGGTGGATGGCTCATTGGACCTCGGGCCAACCCGCAGGGCGGAAGGTGTTTGGGATGGGGTTGATCAACATCTCCTTCGGCCCCACAATGACCACGGGTAACTTTTCCCATGCGGTGAAGGTCATCTTTGTTTTTGGTGTCCCTACTGGTCCATGCAAAGGACCTTCTGATCAACCCCCATGTTCAAACTTCGGCATGCCCGAGGTTGGGGAAGTAGCCGCGCAAGCACTGCGCGATCCGTGAACTCAAAGGCCGAAGCCCCTGAGTGCGCCGAGGGCAGGGGCCATTGCTGGGAGTTGGTTTCTGAAATTCGCATTGCGCGCGACTCTGTGCAGGTACACAATCGATATTGAGAAGGAAGTGGACAAGCTCATCGAAGACCCTTCGAAGCTTTCCTGAAAAGCTGGTGCTCTTTGACAGGGCTCCTTAAAAGATACATTTTGTTCATTTGAAACATGGCTTTTTCCACTAGAATAAAGGGAAACCACAATTTTCAGGGCAATGTTCAGGTGTATAATGTAAGGATCCCTGTTTTATTATTGTTTGTTTGCGAGGTGCAGAGCTCTCAGATGCATATTTGGTCGCAAGCGTAGCCAAGGCGTGCCCGGCGGAAAGCGAAAGGCAAGGATGTGCGAAGGGAGGCTCCCAGGAGGATGCTCGGCAGACATCAGTTCTCAACGTAAAACTGTTCTCAGCTAAGGTTGACCCCAGATTAATCAACCAACCAACCAACCCGTTTATTGATGCGGGGCGCGGGCCCCTCCAAAAGTGGTCTGATTCCCCACATTTCACCCAGGGATACCCTATTAATAACCTGGGGTTGATTCATATGGGGTCAATAAAAACCAGCGGCCAGCCAGTATCAATGGAGCAAGATGCGGTAACTCAGCTGGTACCTGGGTGATTTGGAATGTGGGACTGAACCCCGGGATGCCCTTCACTGAAACCATAGGGGATGGTGTATAGGGTCATTCCAACTCATTCCCCCCATCTTGGCCTGGCCGGCTAAAACCGGCTTGCAGGGTCCCGTCAAGGATGCCGGCTGGGGCCAGCTAAAACCTATTTGTCGCAGCGAGAAGACGGCCGCACGCAGATTGCGGCCGACTCAGAGCTGAGGCTGAGCTTCCTGCAGGAGCCGACGCAGAGCAGCAGCGAGAAGGGCGCCATCTCGGCAGGCTGGGCCGGCCATTTCAGCAGAGCAGGAGCATCCATAGCTGTCCCTTTTGGTTGATTTGCTAAAAAAAAGAGGGCGATTCCTGGTTTACCTGGTTCAATCAACCAGGGCCATCACCCACGGCTCGGAGCCTCCAGTTTTCTTCGTTCCTTTTGGGGGGCTCCCTGATCCCTTGTCCAGCCCAAAAAGGAGTGGAAGCGCACAGATTTCCGTGGAAAGAAGCTGCTTTCCTGGCTTTGTGCACTTGGCTAGTTGGTCGGAGGTTACCCCCAAATAAGCTCAGGTGAGATCCCCAGCATGCGGCGCTCTTTTCCAACCGCGAAACCCTGCGGAAAAAAAGGACAGAGAAGACCTTAAGGTGACCCAAACAAACAAGCTCCCCCCAAGGGCTTTGCCCAGCTCGCCTGCACGGTAGGCCTGGCAGCCTACCGCGCCCAGGGCCTGGCGACGTTGCAGGCCATCGAGATGCAGGCGGAAGTTTGGGACATCGATCCGCACTTTTGCGTGGCAAGCTTGCCGATTCCGGGGGGGGGAAGGGAAATCCAGCTTGATGTGGGTGCTTTGATCCCGATCCCTATTCCAGGTTTTGGGGATTTGAGTGTGTGTCTTGAGGGTTTTTGCAATTTTTTTGGGGTTGGTTTAAGGAAGCCAAGCAGCAGCCAGTCATTTTTTTGGGGCCGCCAATCTTGGCCCTTTGCCCGAATGGCGGCGGTTGGGTTCAACGAGGTGCGTTAAAGGCGGGCCCAACGAAAATATGTGTATGGAACCCAAGAGGCTCCAATCCGTTGGTCGTTTGTGGAGGAAACTCTGGGGGTTCTAAACCCCCTTTGGGTTCCAAATGAGCCAGTTGGACACGGCACGTCAGCGTTTTTTATTGAATCACAGCGCCCCGGCGGCTCACCCAGTTTCCCCTTTGAGGGGGGGTACGGGTCCCGGGTACGGGTTGCGCCCGGCTTCATGCCCGTCGAGTGCAAACGGAATGGACCTGGTGTAGGCTGACAAGTGCCTGGCGCCGGACGCGTGGCGAGAATCCTATGATGCAGGCGGGGCAAGGGTTGTTTGCGAAACGAAGCCAATGGTTTCCCTTCAAAAGAACAATTCAAACCCTGTGGCACAGGCTTGAACAATTCAAACCCTGTGCCTGTGGTTTCCCTTCAATTGGGTTTCCCTTCAAAAGAGACATCCAAATCCCCTAGAATTCATTATCAACCCAGCGGCACGGCCGTATTTGGCCAGGTTGGCTTTTTCATTTTGGTTCGGGGGTGCCTGTTCCTCTGAAATGGCTGTGGGTCAAAACCAATGGGATCCCATTTTGGGGTAGGTGCACCACCCATTTTGGAACCTATTTTAGTGGGGATTGGGATGTTCACTGGGGGTAACCGGGATGTTGACCCATGGCCAAATAGAGGCGACGTAAACCAGTTGTGTTTTGGTCTTGGGGCCCCTTGAGTCTTCAAAGTGGTCCAAATAGCCCCCATGTTTATGGGCTTTCTGCTTTCGGGACAACCCATTTGGGTATTTTTGTAAAAGCACCATCCACTTGTTTGAGGTTCAAAGGGGGAGCCACCCATGTTATGGGTTCCCCCATTTCGATGCCAACTCGTGTCTCCTTTTGCAGCTTAAGCATGATTCGGGGTCAAAAACGGGAAAGCCCCTATTCCCACATGCGGATTTTTGTAGTGTTGGTGCCCTTGTTCGGACACGCCATAGGCTTCTTTCCAACCATGAAAGCAGTCCGACGGGTTTAGTTATGAAGGACCGAAGGGCTCCTTCCCGTTTTGGTGTGGTCCGGAGCCACCGGGACGACGCTACCGGGTAAATCACTAAGGCAACCTCCTTTTGGCTCCATCACCGGCCATGCTGGTGGTTTCCTTCAACATCCCCGCATTGAGGCGAAGTTTCAAAAGCCCACTTTGAGAAACCTTTAGCCTAGGGCCCCTTTCTGTGCTAATAGAGTCCAAGAACGGCCCAGCTTACTTGCGGAACGATTCTTACTTTGCCCACCCCAACCTGGCCCTTTTCCTACTTCGAGATCGCTTGTTTTTGTTTTTTTTTCCTCCGGGGGTTCTCCCAAGCCAAAAGTTGAACACCGTTGCGTCATTTTTTTTTCGGAACCCCAGCCCCCCACACCCCCTGCCCTTTCACCCTGCCACTTCACCCCCTTGGCCCCTTACCCCTTGGTTTCCTTTTTGTCTGATTTCTCGAAAAACATTCTCCGGCGCCTCGTTTTATTTTTTTTTTTATTTTTTCCGCCGGCAGGCCTGTCGGCGTACCGCGCCCAGGGCCTGGCCACGCTGCAGGCCATGGAGGCGCCGGCGGGGGGCCAACAAAGGCCGAAGGGTGCGAGTGGACCTGGGTTTGGGTTTCAGAGGTGCATTTTGCCAAGGGATGTGAGGACTTAGACTTTTTGCCAACTAATGGGTTTTCCGAATTAGACCAGTAAAGGTTAAACTTTTAGCAATGGGAGATACTATATAGCCACTATGTACAGGGTATATTCTTCTGTTTACCACGGGGGTAGTGGTTTCGGGCTAGTGGAAACCGTCATAGAAGGTTTTGCAGGGTCCTGGTCCATGATGAAGAATCATAGGTGTCCTTTTTAGGTTACTTTGGTTCGGAATAGATGGCACTGGTTTAGATGGGTGCTATTCCATTTGCCAGGGCCAACTATTTTTCCCAAAGGCCATCTATCTTTGTGAAGAGCGTCCGTGCAACCTGACCAATTTAAGTTTGCTACAATGAGTCTAACGGCTTAGTGCATGCTTTAGCCAGGCTGTTTGCTCAAGGCACAGGTGCTTTTGAGCCCCCGTTCAAGGATCATCCTGTAAGGCCCTACGGTGCAGATGGGCCTAGTAGAGACGATCAAAGAGCAAAAGATCTCTTTTTCCCACAGCAAACCGCATTTGCATGTATTATTTGCTAGCATCCAGAGAGCATGCGAGGTGAAACTTGCTGGCAACGGCTTCTGCAGTGTATGACTGGTCCACTGTGGCTTAGGGGTAGCAGAAAGCAACCGAGGTGTGGTTTTGTTTGAGCTTGGTGTGGGTTTGGTTTTGGTTGTGTTTTTGGCTTGTTGGGATGTTTGAAGATCAGGAAAGGTGCTGTCCTGGTACCCGGCACCCTGATCTCCACAAAAAGGGACGACACTCTGCTCATGTATTGGGTCCTGAGGTTCAGGGAAGCTGTAGGGCGCCCTGAGTGATGTTTCGGCCAGCAGCCCCTTGTCACCGGAACCCCCCAAAAAATTTGGACGAGCTCCACAAGCTTTACCATGGCACGTTGTCACCCTCCGGTGGATTTTTGGCTGACTTGGGATGGGACCTGATGACTCACAGGTGGAACGGTTCAGTTCCGTTTTCCCTTTTTCCTTTTAGCGACGACAACAGAAGGACTTGCCCTTGAATATGCCAAACGTCTGGCATGGCAAATACTGAGTTAGAGCTGAGGTGTATCAAACGGAGACGGCAGCATGTTTCAATGGGAGGCTTGCCCATCTTTTTTTAGCGGAGCTAAAAAAGTGGGTCGCCTTGGCTCGCAAAACAGCCCAAAGGGTTCACGAAGGGAGCCAACCTCGCGAAGTCCTGAGATGAATGTGGCGTGGCATGAATCCAGTTTGACCTACGGGCCTGTCTCTTTTTGAGGGTTCCCCTGTTTTGTGCTTGGAAAGGGAAGCCAAGAGGACCACCACCTTGGGGGGGTCCAACCTCAAAGAAGACAGCCGCCCACAGCTGGGCCTCGAAATGCCAGGCAACGAGCTTCGATGGCTGGTATGCTCCAGGCGGGGGCCGATGGGGGGCCTTTAAGCCCAGCGGGATGTGAAGGCTGGTCATAGGTGTCCTTTTTGGTTGTTTTGGTCGAAAAGTAGAGGGCGATTCCTGGTGTACCTGGTGGTTTAATTCATCCTCTACCAGGAATCCCCATGCTATTTGCCTTAAAAGGACTTCTATGGCGCTGTTTGCAGTGTTTTTTTACAAATACATAAACAAATTCGCGGCCGGCATGGGCTACGAGGCGGCGGTAACGAAGTGTGCCGGCGAGTTGGCCGGCAACGGCTCTTCTTTTTTCGCGAAGGAAGTGTGATTCGGTCAGGTTGCTGGATCCCCCTCAGTTGGTTCTTCCGCACCTTGTCCCTTGCCAGACTTTTGCCTGACCTTGTGGCCTTTGTTGGCAGTTTTTTTTCTGTTTCCGTTTTTTTCCCTCATTCTCCCTTTCAACCAGGAAACAGTTAGATGGCTGTGGGTCAAAACCAATGGGATCAGTAAATTCACCCATGCTAGGACCAATTTTGGTTGGATTGAATCGGATGTTCACTGGGGGGTAACCGATTTGGATTTTGACCCATGGCCAGATGGGTATGGGTCAAACTGAGTCACTCCCCTTCGGCGCCAGGCCCTGGCGCGCCCAGCCCGGCCGGGGACTCGGGGACCCGGGACGAACTGGGAGCTGCGGTCCTTCGCACGGAAGGGACATGCCTTTTTTGTTTTTTCTCTCCGGTAGGTGTGATCTAGATGTGGCCATGGGGCAGAACCTAGGGCGATCCCATGTTGAGGTGGATGAACATCGATTTGGCACCTTTTTTGATGTTCACCAGGCGTACAGTGTTTAGTGGCAGTTTCCGTATTTACCCCACCAAAAGTTAGTCACTTTTTGGCGGGGGATCTGAAAACAGGCAGCCCAGAATGGTATATGCTGTCTAAGGTGCCATCGGGAGTCCTGGGTGAAGGAAGGGGGAGCTCGGTGACCCAAAAACGCCCGCGAGCGGCGACGCGTCAAGCTGGAGGCCCAATGGCAGCCGCAGGCCAGGTCGGTTGCGCGCGGGGAATGGATGGACATGGGAGGTTTACTGTTAACCCCGGATTAAGCACAACTTCTGGTTGATTTTGATCCGGGGGTGTCCAATTCCTTTTGGTGGGGATTGACACCACTTTTGGAGGGAACACCCCCCTAATAATGGGACGGGTTTATTCATCCTGGGTCAACATTACCCAAAAGGTTCCCTTGGCAAATCTTTGCGTTCGCATGTAAGGCGTAAGGGCGGAAGGCTTTCCAGTGGAATGAGGCCAGGCATAGATTTACGCATATATGCACACGTGTATCGATATGCATAGCATAACTTATGCATACTCCCGGGCCTGAAGCGTTTGCACATGGCCACGCCTGCCTACAGAGCTTGGCTCACCAGCCTTGGCCGTTGCCTTCCGGAGAACCAGCTCGAAGTTCACAGCGCGTAATGTTCAGTTGGAGGTTCCCTGTCAGGCATGCTTTGCAGTGGCCAATCATGAGGCGTTGACTCCTGCATGGCGCGAAATGACGCGATGGTTTGCTTGGATGATGGGCTGCCTTACCAGCTGTGCCCAGATGACAGAGCCTCCTAGCTGAAGGATCTGCAAGGTGAGCGAAGTTGTTTGCATTTGTTACTACAACCTGGCATGTGAGACAGAAAGCCGTGTGATGCTGGCGTATCCCATGAGCACTTTCCAGATTGTAGCGGGGGATGGGCGGATAAGCCGGACAGGGCGGGGAAAGGGGAAGCCCATCAAACCTGCGACATGCGTGCGTGCGAGCTGCGTGCCACTGAGGCTGGCGAAAGATGTCTGGGACTGAGTTCTGGCCATTGCCTTCCGTTTCTTGCACCTGTCCTTAGACAGGGCCAGCGAGTTAGAGAGTTCGCTTCGAAAAGGGGGCTTGAATTTTGCACTCGCTTGCACTGTTGGCTGCTGGCGTTTTTTGTTTCTTTTTGGTGGGGGGGGGGACCCTCAAATGGTGGGTTTCCCCTTAGTTTCCGTTTAACCCGCTTAAACACGGGGGTGCCCTCAACAGAAAGGCACATGCCGGGCGATGTTTCTTCCCGAGGTTCTGCCAGACAAGAATGACGACCCCTGGACCACTTCTTCCCAGTTCAAGCTGGACCTCGTGGAGTTGTTCGGAAACTCCTCGGACCAGGCGGCTCCTCAAGATGGGCCCAACCGATTGCCTGGATCGCCAGATGCGATGGCCAATTTGTCCATCCACTTTAGCCCAACAACCGATCGCAACGAGTGACTGAAAAAAAAGCGATCGCAACTTGGCGATCCAGGCCGTTTTTTCTTTATATGTTCGACAAATCCCCGCACACAAGAGCAAAGAAGTCAGAAGCACGGCCCAAAAAAACAACAACCACTTCTTTCTTTTCTTCTCCGATTTTCCTTGTTCGAGAGGTGGTGCTGGAAGTCGGGGCGCACCTGGGCTTCTGCACCCGCGTGCTGGCGCGCCTCTTCGGCACGGTGCTGGCGCTGGAGAACTCGGCACCGGTGCTGCGGCGGAACGCGCGGCGGAACGCGGACCTGCGCAACGCCGCCCGGGCGGCGAAAATTTGGGGGGAAGCGGCGGTTGAGGACGGGTTTCTTGAAGCCTTTGCTGGGCGGACACGCTGAAAAGCGACATGTTTTTTTCCCGAGGGGAAGCTTCCAAGCTCCTTCTTTCCAATCCAGGAAAGCATTAAACAAACACACAACAAACAGGCGAAACAGGGATCGGGTTTTGAAAAGAGCCATGGTTGCAAAGAATGGAGAAACAGACCCTAGAAAAAAGCGTTGCATCCCCACCGCGGTTTTTTTGAGAACAGGGTTGTGGTTGATCACTCGGGGTTTATCCCACAGTGATACTTGTGGGAATTTCTCTCTCTTTAAATGGGGTAGACCTTGGCTGGGAGACCCTTTTTGTTGTATCACAGAACAGGGCTCCTTAAAATATACATTTTGCAACCATTTGAACCATGTTGCTTTTTCCACCCAAATATAGGGAAACCACCATTTAACAAGGCAATGCTCAGGTGTATAATGCAAGGATCCCTGCAGAAGTGGTCATTTCCCACCGCCCTTGTTGAGAATCTTGCTGGTGCGAGAGATGAGGGAATGACTCATGAGTGACTCATGAGAGATTGGATGGGACATCTGGGTTCTTTCCCACTTTCCCTGGAGCTTGGGAGAGGGGGATTTCAACCCCTGGAGATCTCCATTGAGAGCAAACAACTTTCCCTTTTGCAGGGAAGGCCCCCCAGCCCCCTCCCCCGTTAAGCTACGGGGATGAAGAGCTTGAAGCAGGTTCTCTTCGCCTGCCCAAAACGAATCTATGCCATGTTTAGAGCTTGGCAGGCATTGGGTGAACATGTATCATCAATTGTTATGGGTCTGCCATTTTGGATCAAGACTGAGCCAAATTGGCAGACACCTTTTTGGTTTGGTTACATTGTTGACTGGAGTGGGACTCCGGTATGTCTGGCGCCGATGCAGGCCCCTTGGTGGCCCACTGTCAGGCGCGGATGTTGCACCCGGCGGCCCTCCTGGACTTCGAAGCCTACGTGCAAGGACTGCTGGCCCGTGGGGAACGGGACCAGGCCGTTCGGCTGTGGAGGGCAGTTGTGGTGGTTGTGCACCTCCCCCCAACCGAGACCTCTGAGTTTCGCATTCCTTCCCTAGGTGCACAGAAATGCGTGGGGGGTTCCAGTTCCCGTGGCTCGGGATTTGGACCAAACGCGCAGTCCTGGTTCAAGCAGAGGTTGGCCCGGAGGCAGCTTGGGACCTTTACTATGCGGGCCGGGACTACTTGGATGAGGATCAGCTTCGGGCCGTTGACTCGGGCACCACCGGTCAACTCCGGTTGGGATGCCTCTAACATCCTTAAAAGTTCCCCAATGCACTTCATCAACTCCCAAAGCACTACAGAAAGCTCGTCACCGCGAGCACGGCACGAAAGGGCAGCTTCCACATGATGGGGAAACAGAAAGCAGTAGACATTGAGAAATCATTCTGGCGGGCCCATGGGTCCTGCCATCCTAAACGAGAAATCGCATCTGACCAATTGGATTTTGAAAGGGATCCACTCCCAATACATCCAAACTTTCAGCCCATACAAAATTGTGTGTATCACGTGGGACATTCGCTCCAGATCGGGTTCTCTGGATCTACCACGGATTAAACACATCAGGGCTGCGGTGTTATCGATGTACCACACTCCCCGCCGATTACGGAATGTATCCGGTCGGCAGAGAAGGGCGTACAACACCATGGACAGCTCCAATTGAGCAATCTTCCGGTCCCCCGGAGTCCACAACTGGTAAAGCCCGCTTCTCACCAGGGCCGCTCGGCTCTGGCGGCCGCTTCTGGGGCACCGCCTTGATCTTGGGCGACAGCATCATCGCTTCGGCACTAGTCGAGCCACTGCTTGCGGCCCCCGACGGCCGGGCCGGGATGGACGACTCCGGGTCCTCCACCATCACCACCTTCGTCACCCGGCACACGCCCGCTGCATGCTTCCCTCCGCAGGCTCTCCCCGTCAAGCGGACGCATGCACAAAGGTGCGCAAACCCGCACACTCGCTCCCCGGGGCACTGCCCCGCCTGGAACGCCGGGCATAGCCTCTTGCCATCACGCATCACTGCGGTCAGGCGCCGGCCGTTGAGCGATTGCTGGCTTAGCTGCCTCTGCCTTGGCTTTGGCTATCCGCTTGAGCTTCTGCGTCAGGGCGAAGCGCTTCTGAAGCTCCTTGGGGCGTGGGGGGGCCGCCCACACCACCTGGGCGTCCCGCGCCTTGGCCTGGGCTGACGCCGCCTGGCCAGCCTGGGCCGCCTCCTGAACCTCCGCCAGCGGCGGTACCAACTCCCAGGATTCGTGGTGGGTCAGAGCCGCCACCGCTCCCACCATCCTGTGCTTGGCCAACAAGGACGCCGCGTACTTGGCCCCGCTGTAGTGCAATGGCATGCGAGCATCCTCCGGGACGTCACCCTTGGTCTGCCAGTCGCCCAACGCTGCCATGTCGAGGGCGCTAAACCCCACCAGTTGGCCCACCGTTGTACCAACCCGCCGGAACGAGTATGACGAAACCATCGTCGGGTTCTCCACCAAGTCCGCAAACTCGTGCCGGACCATCCGGTAGACATCGGACCGACGGAACGCCAGCCCGCAGTCTGCCTTCTGATTCTCCGGCACCAGGGCAAAGTCATGGAGCCAGGCCGCTGACCAGTCCCACCCGGTTGACAGCTGTCCGGGCACACAGAAGTCGAAGCCCTTGCGCAGTCGCCGTTGCTTCCCTTTGCTGCAGTGCGCATGGACCGTCGACATGGTCACCTTCCGCACCTCCGCCCGAGTGAGGTGCTTGTGGCGTAGAACTCCTCCATAGAGCATCCACGCCGCCAGCAATGCTTGCCAGCGATCATCGCCCTGCGTGTAGAGCAGCTCCTCCATCCGCTGCTCCATCTTCAGCAGCATCACCGGTTCCACCACTGCTGCCTGCCCCCTGGGCCCTGCCCGACGCGCCTGTCCCGCAGGCGGCGTGAGCATGCCCAACCCCAGATCCACCCTCGCCTGCTTGGTCAGCCAGCGCAGTGATTGGGTAGCACGGGCCGGGGCAGCTGTTCCTTCGTGGAGGAAAACATCAAGGTCGACCACTTCTGGTGGCAGCGGTCGAGAACGCGCCTGCATGAAGGTGATCACCTCACCCCATGTGCGCAAGGCATTCAACACCGTGGCCCTCTCCGCCTCCGTCACCAGCCGCTGCGCCAAACGAGTACATGATCCTCTCCACTCGCGCCGCAGCTGCTCCGTCAGGACTCCTGTCGGCTTCATCGCCCCCATGTCCTGCAGAGCCTCGCCGAGCCGCTGGACCTGCATCGTGATCCTGCCCGGCATCGGAGCCACGCCAGCCCGCCGAGTCATACGAATCACGTGTTTTAATGTCCATAAGGTGGACAAAAAAACCTACCGCTTTCCAGGATACTAGCTCGCCCAACGTGGAGGCTTCGATACCGAGCGCGCCACCTGCCCGGCATCGCCTCCGGTTCGTCTTGAACTGCTCGAAGGCGTACCGCCGGAGCCCTCGAAGGCCGAGGGGCCAGAGGCCGAAAAGGAAGATGAACAGCCGTCCCCCGGCTCTCGCCCTCCACCACATCAGCCGCGGACGGCAGCAGCTCGGACTCCTGGGCGCTACGCACCCGCACCCACAAATTGGCCAGGTCCCTGCCGCCAGTAGTCAGCGCCTCCTCAAACGAGTGGAAGGCGAACGCAAAGTCCGCATCATTCTGCAGCCCGTGCTCGCGCCTCCACCTGGCGGTGTGCTGGGCGCCCACCGCCCCCAAAGCCGACTCCGGGTCCCACTGCCCCCCGGCGTCCCCCGCCAGGCGAGCGTAGATCCCGGTCGGTACAGCTGCCATGGCGCTAAGGATCCCCCAGTGAGACCAAATGGCTGAGGCATTCCTCGCAGAGTGGCCTGTCCCGGATGACGTGCCGTGTGAGGGCACCACACCGCATGCAAGGGGGGGAAAAACACGCTCTCCCGCTGCAAAACCAGCCAGCCACTGACCCAGAACCCCGGCCCACGCAGTGGCCCCATCGCGACTCTCCCAGTCGCCGGAGGGGATCGGCTCATATGCCGGCTCTCGCCAAGACCTTTTCCACGCCGAGAAGACGGCCTCCCGATCGAGGCCACACTCCTCAAGGCCGGCCAACTCAACGTAGCCAATGAAGCGCGCCATGTGCTCGGGGACCAGCTGCTGCACTCGCATGCAGGAGATGCATGGAAATCCAAAGCATTATCCCTCAGGCGATGAGGGTTGTTACAGGCACGGGCAGTGCAGACTATGAATGATGAGAAGGGAAAAAGAATTGGGGTGCGTTGCAGCCTAGCAGTAGGAACGATACGTGACACATTGATGTATGCCATGTTTAGAGCTTGGCAGGCATTGGGTGAACATGTATCATCAATTGTTATGGGTCTGCCATTTTGGATCAAGACTGAGCCAAATTGGCAGACACCTTTTTTCCACCCAACTCACCCTAGTTGTCTGGCCTGGCGTCCAGTAGCCGACAACTTTGAAGGTCCCGATGGGACTGGGGTTTGCGCAAGGGCGCACTGTGCTGTTTCGAGGGGAGGGGAACTTTTAAGGATGTTAGAGGCATCCCAACCGGAGTTGACCGGTGGCCCCCTCTAAGCACAGTCCATGCAGGAGATGCATGGAAATCCAAAGCATTATCCCTCAGGCGATGAGGGTTGTTACAGGCACGGGCAGTGCAGACTATGAATGATGAGAAGGGAAAAAGAATTGGGGTGCGTTGCAGCCTAGCAGTAGGAACGATACGTGACACATTGATGAACCTTTAGACCTTTTGGTTTCGGAATGACAACTGGACGGCGGTGTGGTTCGTTTTTTTTTGTGTGTTTCCTGTTGGGCATCCATCGGATCATTCCCAACGGGCCCTGATGTCGAGAAAGAGCCAGCAAGAAAAACAGCGCCCAGTTCTCCCATGTCCATTCTGGTTGGGTCCGGGAAAAGGTTCCGAACAGGGTTCCGTTTTTCTTTTGGCAGGGTCACTCAAGTGGGATTGGCGCGCGGGGAACATTTCCGCGAAAGAGGGAGGAGGAGCTTTGGCTTTGCGGGCTTCCCATCTGGCGCCCAGGTTGTTTATTTGAAGTTCCATAGCGTCATGGACGACTGGACGACCTTTTCCCAGACGCCCATCCATGCGGTTTTCATTGATGCTGCCCACGACTATGGTAGTGTGAAAAGCGACCTGGAGAGAGCTCTGGCCTTACCTGGTGTGCACACCATCGCCGCCTGGCATCAGAGAGAGCAGGAAGCATTAAGCGCTTGCCCCCACTCGTCCAGAAATCGCTGGATGTCCTCAAATCAAAGGTTGATCAATGCACAGCTGACTTCCACAAAAACTTCCACTTTTGGCGGTTTTTTTTAGATAAGGGAAGATGGAGGAACCCCACTCCGGCAGGAAGTTTCGAGTCGGTTCTCTTCATGGGCAAAACATGCTCACACTTCGGCCCCTGAACACCAAGGCCCCATTTGAATGGTCAAGCTTCGGCCACCGCGCCATGTGGCAGTTCTAGCATCGATCCGATTCTTGCAAAGCGTCGCTGCTTCGGTCGCCCATCCCCTCTGCCTCCATTGGGGAAAAATGGGACTTCCGACTTCACCACTTGCCATCCCCCGACGGCGCCCCAAACCATGGGGCCTGAGCGGTGGAACGTGGGAGCGGGGGGGCTCCCGGATCGAAGCTAACCCAGGGCTTGAGGAGATTCCTCTCGGGCTCGCCGGCCTTCTGCACGACATCTTCGTGGCATGCGGGCGAGGGTCTGTAGGCAAATGAATTTCAACCACCGGGGGGAGGGGACCTGTCTTTGCCAAGGTGTTCAGTTGTTTAGTGGGTTCTCCACTTGAAAAACGGTAATGTTGACCCCATATCAATAGACTGTAGTGAAGGGGTGTCCCTGGGTTTAGTGGGAATCATCACTTTCGGAGGGGAGCACTCCCCTTTTTTCAAAAACTGGGTTTACCAAACAATGGAGCCAACATTAAGCTCCAACAAGGGTTCCGTTCCCTATCTGTCCCAGGGTCAGGCGACTGGGTTTGGCACGCCTTAGTTTGTCGAGGTTCTGGACGACTACGGCACGAGGACCGGGGTGCACCAGGCAGGCATGTTTAAACAAGCACGTCAAGCTACAGGGAAACCACTGCGATTTGGTTAAACTACCGAATCAGGTCGGTGCTGCAAACCTTGCAGATTACAGCTGGGTGAAAGTAGATGGCACAATTCCCCCCATTTCAGTTCAGTCGTCCCCTTTGCCCGCACAGAGAAGTTGTGCCATCTGCTTTCTTTCACCCTGGTAGCAGTAGGGTAGTAAGGGTGCGGCTTAGGTCGTTTCAACAGTATCTTCTCTCACAAAGAAGGAATCCTAACATTTTCTGCTGGGCATAAACACCTGTTTATTTCGGTTGGACCCCCAAAATGGCTTCCTTCTCTTTTCCCACTGGTTTCCCTTTCAACCCCCAAAAAGGGCAGTCCCGCAAAAAATGGCTTCCTTCTTTTTTCCCTTGGGCTTCCCTTTGCGCCAACCCGGGTTTCCTCCAAAAAAGACGTCGGAGCCGAGCCCCGAGCCGCGCGCGGAGTCGCCCAGGCGGTGTCCGAGGTGGTGGCCAGCGGCGGCGCCCGGATCAAGCGCTTCGTGGGCCGGGAGCCCCCGTGGTCCTACGGGGATGTCCAGGCGCGGTGGGGCGGGCGGGGGGGTAAGCGTCTCGCTTAACTTCCGCCGTTCGGATGTCAGTTTGTTGCGTGAGAGCCTGAATTTGATCACGGAACATAGCCACGCAGCAGCCATACCCATAAGATGCAGGTAGGGCAGATGGGCTGGCTGCACACTTATTTAAATGTGTATGAGTAAGTAAGTACCTTCAAAATATCAAGATTTTGTTCAGAAGTCTTGGGAAAGGGCGTGCCGGGGGGGGGGGGAGCGGGGCTTTGGGGCTTTGGGGCTTTGGGGCTTTGGGGCTTTGGGGCTTTGGGGCTGAACTGGATGTGTATGGGTATGGGTATGGGTATGGGTATGGGTGTGTGGGTATGGGTGTGTGGGTATGGGTGTGTGGGTATGGGTGTGTGGGTATGGGTGTGTGGGTATGGGTGGGTGTGTGTGTGTGTGTGTGTGTGTGTGTGTGTGGGGTTTGTGTGTGTGGGGTTTGTGTGTGTGGGGTTTGTGTGTGTGGGGTTTGTGTGTGTGGGGTTTGTGTGTGTGTGTGTGTGTGGGTGTGTGTTTGTCTCTGTCTTTGTGCCTGTGTGTGTTTTTGTGGTGGGGTGGGGGGTGGGAAAACCCCTATTGACTGGTTCTTGAACAAGTGTTCTCAATGGAAACTGCATGCTTGAGGGTGGGTTTGAGACAATTGCGTCTTTTTCCGGGAGGAGGAGGGTGGCCAGAAGCGGTGGTGGGAGGGGGGGAGGACAAGGATTGGATTGGCTCTCGTTTGGGGAGGGGAAGTGAAGACACATGCTGGCTGACAAAGGGTGTGTTCTTGCGGATGGGCTGAGCCAACCCCATGCGATGTTCAACCTGAGCGCATCAGGTGCCCGATTGGGAGGGCGTGGCCCTAGAGCCGCTGGCGCAGCCGAGCGCCGCATCGCCGCCGTTGGACCTGGCTGCCTCCTTGCTGGGCACGTCCTGGGTCGTTTTCCCCGCAGCTGGGCGAACCTGTTTTTGTGCGTCGCTGAGATTTTGGGGCTTCAAGCTTCACCGTTGGCAGTCTCAAGGCTTCCTGCAACCTGTTAATGCCAATCAATGTTGCAAAAGGATCGCTTGCGACAGCATGAGATCCTCAATCTTCTTGGCGCATCCTGCGCCTGGCTCGTATTATACTAAAAAAGCCGCGCGCGTTGTTTTTGTTTGGCGCCGAGGCGGGGGTTTTCTCCTCCGGGTACTTCATGCCCCACGGGCAGTTCCAGCTGGACCGGCCGCACCAGGCCGCCAGCTCCTACGGCCCCATGGAGTGGCGGGCCGCGCTGCCAGGGGAAATCGAGGGGGCTGTGCCGACCCTCATCCTCCAGGCGGATGCGTTCTGCCAGCCCTGGAAGACACAGCCAAGAAGAAAAACACAGGAACAACGGCGACGACAGACAGAACGAGGAACAGGAAACAGGGGAACTGGCCAACTCACGCACCGAAAAGCGCTGCTCCTAAATGCCCATGGGCGTTTGGTTCTGCCAAGATGGTTGCAAAGGCGGCACGCTGCTGGATTTTGCCGTTGGTCGCGATTCTTTTGCGCATTGCAAGTCAAATGACAAATTACGGCATGTTTCGAGGACAGATTTGCCCGCGTTCAAGAACCCGTTGGTTCACCCCAGGTGGTAGAGGAGCCCCACTGGCGGCTGCAAGCGGAGGTCACCGAGCAAAGGACGTTGTGGTCAAAATACTTGACTTGATTTGGCTGTGGGTCAAAACTCTGTACCCCTGGTGAACATCAAACTAGGTGGCAAATGGACGTTCATCCACCCCACAATGGAGCCATAGGTTGTGCCCCATGGCGATTTCTGGGAGGTAGACAGTCCCCGGAGGCTGCTGGCACATCGCTTTGGTTGCCTTTGTTGACAAGGCGTGTGCGGGTGCTGTTGCAAATGGAGGACTGGGATGGCCTTGAGACGGAACGATGGCGTGGTTTTCGTCGCCGTCCGCCAGGACATGATGAGAGTTATCGGGGATAAGCTGTTAAGCTTCCTGCACTAGAGTTTGTCTCAATTCCGCCAGCGCGAGCTTGAAAAACGAGTCGAGTGCCTGACAGTTTCATTGGCTGTTTGGGACTGCTTGGCTTGAACTGGGCGCCAGGTATGGGCAGGGCAGCAATGGAGGCAACCACATGAGCAGGCAGGCTGCTTCATACCTTGCTGCTCCAGCCTCGTAAGCAGAGTGCCCGCCCTGAACCGTCAGGCGTTGTCGCGCATGGCGGCAAATAGCTAGCTGGCCCTTTCTGACATTGCCCCTCGGACGCCTGAAAGGGGAGCAGTCCGATTGTTAATACCTAGCAGTGAGGAAGGGTGGGGCATGTTTCCCGCGAGTCACGCGGCAAAGCAATAAATCATTGAAGCGCCTTCTCTAGTCAGTGCAGAGAAAGGTTGACTCCACCCTGCCGCAACTGGAGATCTTGAAATGTGACTCTGGCAAAGCTGCATCGGCCAAAGCATTCCGCATGCTGAGAGGGAATCATGATCACAACCCCCCCCCTGAAAGCTCAAATCCTTTCCTGGATGGAGAAGCTTCTCCTGCGGATGCTTTGCTTGCGACATGGATGGGCCTCCCGCACTGCGTGCCCGGTCCGTTGCGAATTTCCCCATGGATCTGGCGGACGGCTTTTCCCCGTCGCATGTCCGGCGGCTCCAGAGGCTAATGAGCACGCCCAGCCGCAGTGGGCAATTCCCCGCTGGCGGAGGGCAGTACGCGCTAGCAGCTGAAAGGGTGGCAGAGCTCGTGCCTCCGCCGCTATTACAAGGGAATGGGCATTTCCCCCCAGAGTCCAGGGAAAGTCCACAAGCTGTTGCCACTTGAAAGGATCCATCTGATCCACTTGTTCGGCAGCCTGTTTACCTCTTCGGTGAGTACACAAATGGCCAAAAACCCCCCCACTGGCTGGTGACGGAACCCCCACTCATTTGCATGTTTGCTGGTTGATTTGTGGTAAGAATCAGGTAGATACCCTCCTGTCCACGTTGCCATGGAACCAGCGGGTCCATTTGATTGGACCATGGTCTTCCGGGACCCCGAAACTGTCCCGTTCAATTTGTATGATGACCCCGAAACTGTGGGGTTCAATTTGTACGACGACCCCGAAACTGTGGGGTTCAATCCGTATGATGGACACCTGGGGGTCTCCGCCCAGCCCCCCAACATCCCAAAACAAACTCCCGGGCCTTCCCTCCCTGCGGCCCGCCGGGCTCAAGGGTTTTAGAGCCGCAGAAGGGCCGCGAGCGGGAGCCGCAGGAGCCGCAGGAGCCGCAGCGGAGGGTCTCCCGGCAGAGGGGATGTTTTTGGACCCGGGGTGTTGGACCCGGGGTGTTGGGTCCGGGGGGGGGGGGGAGGGGTTGTGTTTTGGTTTGCTCCTTCTTCTTAGTTGTTTTTTTTTTTTCGGGGGGGGGAGGCCGAAAGCAACGCCGCCATGCTTCTTGCTTGGGGAGAAAAGCTCTTTTGGGGCTCCATGCAGTTGGAGAAGTTCGCAACCCTCGACTGCGTCCAGTTCAATACACCTGGGCGGGGGGAGATCCACATACAATCGCTAGAGAGAAGAAGAACTCCCTCAAAGGTGTCTTAGCCGCCTGTGCGGTAACTTTATTCCGAAGAGGGGGGGGGGGGAGGGGAAAAACATGTGAGTCTTACCCACGAAATGTAATAATGTAAGGACTACTTTAAGGGGGAGATAAGCCAAATTGCCAAATTTAATGCCTACATTACTCCTATATGGGTTTGGCTCAAAATTAAACAGGAGGGGTTACGCAGGTTTTGCTCCATGTTTCCACTTACCAGGGTTCCATTTTGGTACCAGTTTTTTGAGCCACAGCATAAGACACTTCCCAGGACTCGTGTCTTAGCTTGCAAGTAGTTCATCCTCTCGGGGCTACGTCTCAGCCCTTGAGGCTCTCGCTCCGCCGGGGATTTTTACGGCTGCCTGGCTGGAAAGGCTTGGAAAGGGTTGGAAGCGAGCACAAGCCATCAGCAGCTGAAATGAAGCCTCATTTCTTTTTGAAGGAGGGCGCTCGACGAAAGAAAGGGTCCCCTCTCTTTTTTTCCTCGCCCGAGCAACCTTGAAGCAACTCACACTGGTGCCTGAAGCTCCGGCCTGGTTTTTCAGGGAGCCGACGCGCAGAGAGCTAGGCTCATTTTGCAATGAAGAAGTGATGCCGAAGCATTGCGGGGGAAAAACAAATCACACACACACACACACACTCCAGGATGCAAGCTGAAAACTCAAGACTCCGCAGCCGAGGCTTCGCCGCAGGCGCCTCCGCGCTCCGCGCGAGTCGCTGGCTGTGCTTAGAGCCGATGTCCTTAGCGCACGCCATGGACCCGCTCATGTCGATCTCTCCCGCGGAGCTGTACAACCACCGGCGAGGGAATCGGACGTACAGAGGCTACACTATACCCCTGTCGGTGGGTGACGCTCAGGCCTGGGTAGATGCTTCATTTTGGATGGCTTTTGGTTTGGGTGAGGGTCCAGGTGCACGGCAAATCTTGTGCCCAGACACCTAATTTGGAGGGGGGTTCCATGAGTCTCCCTTCAAATCAACCAGAAAGGGTACCCTCCCACATGAACATGGAACCCGACATGGAACAGAATGATCTTCCGGGTACCCTGCCACAGGTGCGACGTTTTTTGTTTTTTTTAGTTATATATACATATTATTAAGGACTCTTTTAGTACTCTTCAAATATCCAGGGGTGGATCCGCAGATTCGCCGCATCCAAGCTGCCTGCAGGAGAAGCTGCTTCCAGCGGCCCCGAGCATCGGATCGGCCAACCGCGAAGGCATGCGCGCCTTCGGCGCGCCTTCGGCACCGCGGGGCCGCGGGGTGGGGAGAATTTGGAACGCGGGGAATTTTTCGCGCAGAGGTTCATACCTAAGAACCCCCTGAGGTTTTTTTTGCTTGCTTTTTCGGGCTGTGAACTTTTTGGGAAGGAACATTCTAGTGGCGAAAAAAACAGTTTGGGCTTGTTGAGAACAGGACATTGTGATCCGACGGCCCTTTCAAAAGCAGGATGTAAAAGGCCAAAACGCCGGAGCTGGATGGCACAGGAGTACATTCCATGCAGGAAGGCAGAAAGACGTTTTAATTAATTTGAAAACTGGTATGGGGATACAACGGGAAGCATGTTTTTTCAGGCGCCAAGTGTCTGGCAGGCCTGATGGAGATTTTCTGGTCGCCCTTCACCCTGCTTCTGGTCTTCGTACCGCTGGGCGTGGCGTCCGACGCCTTGGAGTGGGGGGATGGCTGGACCTTCGTTCTGAACTTCATCGTCGCTGCCTCAGTGGGGGTGTCAAACAAATATGACCCCCTCCTAAGGCAGCTTTTCCGGAAACGGTTTGGATGCGCTTTTTGTGGATTTTTACCTGTTCTTCCCCCTGTTAGTCCTTTGTTAGTACTCTTTTAGTACTCTTTTAATATTCTACAGGCGAAGATGCACATTTCCTAGAGCTTTCGCCTCCAGGTTTCTTTTAACAGCCTGCCCATTTTCTGGAAGGTACAGTTTGGGACCCCTCGGACCCTTTTGGAGGGTGAACACCCCCGCCCTCCAAACAAAGCATTCGGCTCCGCCGTGGGAAGCCGAAGGCTTGGGTGGTTTTGGTTTGTTTTGCTTCCAAGCCAAGCCCTTTGAGGGTTTGACTGCTATTGGGTTGGATCTTTAGACTTTCACTTTTTGTGAGTCAAGGGGGTTTTCCATGAAACCCACCAACAGTTAAACACTTTTCGCAGAGGGGTCAACAGCAATCAAGAAAAGGGGGACGCCCTCTCCGGAGACCGCGAGATCGGAACCGCGCCGCAGGCCCTGCTGCCTTTGGCGAAGTTGCTGGGCGATGCCACTGAGGCGCGGATCCGCGCACCTTCGGGGGTTGGAGGGAAAGGGCAGTGGTGGTCAAAACCGTCTTGGTATCCCATTTCGGGGTTTTCGGTGCACCACCCATTTTGGAACCCTATTTTAGTGGTTGGATCGGGATGCTCACTGGTACGATTTGGCTTTTGAAAAGCCCATGGCCAAATGAGGGCCGTCCTAAAACCCCAGTCTTCGGTTTTAATCATCGCCGAACAGGGAGAAGTAAAAGTTGTCAAAAGCTGTGCGCGCGCAAGGAGCGCGCAAGTGCGGCCCAAGGGACGCGCAAGGTTACAGTTTTGAAGGGTTTCATGTACTGATGTTGCCTAGCTTCAGGAAAGGAGGTGATATTTTCTTGCTGTACTTGTGCCTTTCGAATCAGTCAGACGCCAAACGAAGCCAAAGCTTCTGCGGTCATGACTTCAACAATCAGCAATTGACACGACAAAATCCGCGCAAGCCGCGCGCAAGCCGCGCGCAAGTTGCGCGCAAGCACGAGAAGCCCCAGCAAGACATCTAGCCATGCTGTCTCGGATGTCCTTAGCGGCGCGGTTCAAGCAATGGATAGGCACCCGCAACATGCACTTTCTTTCTTTCAGGCTGTGTCCAAGCTGTGTGGCAGAGCCTGCTGTTCTTTCTGTTGGGTCAAGGGTATGTTGCTGGCATTGAATTGCCGGGAGCGACCTCAGCGGGAAAAGTCTTTGTGGGTTGCTGTGTGAACGACAAACACACTGCTTAGAAAAGCTTGCGCGCAATCCACACGAAAACTTCGCAAACCGAGGTCAACGAAAACGAGTTTCTGCGCCACTGTGCGCGCGCAAGTACGCGCAAGTGCCGCGCAAGCGCGGCCCAAGGGCCCAATCGCGGGCAAAGGAATATAGGACAACCCCCAAATGGAACCAGGACTTGATGGTGAGGGCTAAAGCTCTGCGTGGCTGAGTTAGGAATTGAAATTCGTAGGCGCTCTTCGTTGGACGACCAGCTGGCAAGGGCGCAGCTGGTACCACAGCATGGTTCTGCCTGTTTTTATGGCGAGCTCACCGGGTAAAACGAGCTCACTACTCTCAGCCCGGGCCATCCTTCAAACGCGTTTTTGGCGCGTTTTGCGCCAGGAGCTGGCGGTGGCTTTGAAGAATGATGCGGTGGCCGGGATGCTGAACGCCACCTTTGGCAACGTGGTGGAGATGATGATCACGGTCAACACCCTCCGAGCTCGGAAGATACTTGAGTTGGGAATCGTAAAGCAGCCCCAAAAAGGCACAGCCAGACGCGCAGCCTTTTGTTTTTCCCTTTTCTCAAGCATGGTTTTGGGGCTGTTTGGTCCCTTGCTTTTAGCGGAAACCAAAAGAAGGGGAAAGGAGCAAACATGGATTTTGCGTCGCGGGGCCGTCGAGCTGGGCTGGGACCTTAATTTCCCAACCAAAAGGGGATCCCAACATATGGCACGAGCCTCACTTGCCCCAGAGGCGCATCGACCTAAAATTTTGAGGTTTCCCCGTTTTGGCCACCATTTCTTTAAGTCATGGCCCCAGAAGGTAAACCTTTCATGATATGTTTTTGGGGTTCTTTGGGCAAGCGAGAAGCTGCGTCGCAGCTGTTGCAGAACCAAGGATGCCAGTGGCTGAGCGCACCAATGTGGTCAAGTGCACACTGCTGGGGTCGATTCTGTCCAACCTCTTGCTCCTTGCCGCGCAATCAGGGGGCTTCGCCACTGTTCAACGCGTGGGAATCAAATATCTTGCCATCCTTTTCCTCTCTTTGGGTTTTGTTTTTTGGGAGTTCTCCCTTTCGGAGGTGCAGCTTGGTCCCTTACTCAGGACAGCCTTAGCTGGCGGTTTGGATTGGTGGTTTGGGATTTGACCCCCTGGCTTGTGTAGAGGGTCCATGGGTTGCACCCCTCCTTACCCACCAAACCACCGAGACCGGCTCGCTACAAACCCCCCCATCAGAGGGGTTTGTGGGTTCGTCAATGCTCATGGTCCAGTGTTCATGGGAAAAAAAACCTCCCTCCATTATTTCATTGATCCAAGGAGTCCAAATGCTTAAAGCGGCCGTCTCCCAAAAACCGGGGGTTGTCGCGCTCAAGCTCCAACACGAGGGGACACGTCGCGCGAGAGCCGCGCTCGAGTCCCGAGCCTCGGAGGCTCGTGCTGGGCATGTCCTTCTGCTTCGGAGGCCTCACCGAGGCGCGGGCCCGGTGGGTCAGGCGGTGCTGGACCCGCCCCCCCCCGCAAACCCCCCCCCCCGCCTTCTTTGTGGAGCTCCTCCCCCCCCTTTTTGTGGAAAACACCCCCGACTTTTTGGGTGGACGCCCCCCCCCCCCACACTTTGTTGTGGCCCTTTTGTGGAACACCCCCGGGTTTTTGGTGGACGCCAAAAGGAAGTCAACCATTTATTGGGGCTCCCTGATTCTAAGACACCCTGTGTGCGCCCTGATCTGGACGAGGTATTGGGAAGCGCATTGTACCAGGGGTCCCCATGCCGGGGAAACTCTGGAGGCTTGATTGAACGATCCCCTCGATTTTGCCCTCAACGAAAGTGTGGACCCGAAGATGCCAGGTGAAGGTGCAAGCAGCGGCTTCAATTGTAGAAGGGGATCCTTGGCAGAGCAGCGAGATTCGCCATCGATTCGGTGAAAAGAGCTGCAAAATCCTTAGAGAATCGTAAGTCCCCGCCCGGCTTTCATCTTCTCGCATGTTTGCTATGACCCCTTTCCGCCTTTGGACGTGCTCATGAAGGTGAGCATGGGTTGCAGCTGTATAAGCATCTTGGAACACCGGGAGCCGCGAAAGCGTTGCGACACGCCGTCAATCTGGCGGCATGCGTATGGCATCACGCCTGAGACAAGGTCCTGCCTTACCTCACTAAGGAGAAAGAGCAGAAGTTCGCCATGAAAGGCGTGAATATGAGCATGGGTCTGCTGACCTTCTGCTTCAAGGCTGCAAGGATGTCACCCGAGGGAGAAGCTCCTTGCACTGCGAAGTCTCCTAAGGCTGTATGTCCTTCGCTCTTCCCACCCTCTTTGCACAAGGCTGGGCGTCATGTTGCCACATGTTTCCATTGCTTTTCAAAAGGGTGGCCCTTTTGCGTTGGGACGGTCAGGGGGCGTAGCCTCGCAATAGAGCAAGTGTGGAGTTTGGAAAGATGTTCGCTTCAAGCAGTGGAGTTTGCGCCCCTTAGGATACCAGGACAACATGAAGGACCTGCTTGACGTGTCCCACAACGGGGCCTTGACGACGCCTTAGCTCATTCGATCCAGCTGGATGGAGTTAGGCAGCTTGATTCCCGCGCGAGGCTGGTTGCCTCAGCCTACGTTGCCTTCCTCTTCTTCCAGCTGGTCTCTCACAAGCACACCTTGGACAAAGACGAGGGGAGACTGACGCTTGGCACCAATTTTGCCGCAAGAAATGAGCTGGTTGGAAGCCAGCGGTGCGTCTTCTTGGCGCTGACCCGAGAGACGCAGCCGCCACGTTGAAAGGGATGGGCCTCGTTTTGAAGGCAGGAGGCGCGTCGAGTTTGGAAGCTGGCCTGACGAGGAAGGACCATGGCACCGAAGATTCGGAGGCACGAGCATGCGCACCGACCTCACTCTTTTGAGCGCTTGTGCCGCTGTGATTTCAGCAGGATCGCCCTCCCCTCTCCATTTGGCTTTCGATCCTGATGATGGTTGTCATAACAGCAGCTTTGCGCAAGAGATTGTGAGAGAGCATGCTCCGGCACATGGTGGGAAGGAGGCTTTCCAAAAACCAAACATGAGTGACAATCAAAACCCGGGCAGATGAAGGTTAGTAAGGGGCAATCCCAACCATAAATGGTTGCGGCCGCCTTCTCAATTCTTTACATGACATCTATGGTTCTGGGAAATTGCGACCATTTTAATACCGGGTTTTGATTACGACTCACATGGCTGCGAGTCAATTTATAAGGTCCGGAACAGGGTCCGGAACCCACATGCGATAGACCTTGCTTTGCCAAATGCTACGTGTTAAACCCGTCTTCTTCCAAGCCAGCCAGGGCATTCTTTTTCGTGTGTCCTAGCCATTTTGGCCGAACTTTCCAGCGAGTTTGTGTTTAGTTTGGTGCCATGACCATTTCGGTTCACCTTTGCAGGTCTTATACGGTTGTTTTTTGCAGGAGCTAAAGATGTATCATGGTCGCTTTTCACCAAACAAGGGTTCAGTGCTTAAAGGGAAGAATGTGTCGCTTTGGCCTTGCTAAACCCAGTGGACTTGTGCCAGGTCAAGGGGTCAGTTTGTGTCATGGCAACAGCACAAACAGCAACTGAGCAGAACGAGCCCAACCGAACTCCTTTACCATGGTTGTAACGCACTCGATGCGATACGATTCATTGTCTCTCGGTTCGAATCGATTCATATTGTTTAGAATTGAAACTGTTTCGGTGCGAAACGGTGCGATTCACTGCCAGTAATGCTTTTCGTTGCGATGGGGCCTGGTTTTTCAGGCCAGCACGACCTCTGATATGCAGAGCAGGTGTGATACCACTACACCAGGTTGTCCTGGCAAGAGGGGTTGTGATAAGATTATAATGTTGAAAAGGAAGACAGACCACGAAGAAATGCAGCTCGGCAAAGACTGCTCGAAGCACTCGGAATTTCAACCCCGCTGGTTTGTCGGGTGTGAAAGTGCAATGACAAAGGCTGAAATGGTGTGGAGCAAGAAAGAAGGAGCAAAGGTGCAAGAAAGAAGGAGCAAGGGAAGAAGGAGAAAGAAATGAAGAAAGGAGTACCGGTGTTCCGAAACTTTGGTCGGTTCGTTGCGATACGATTCCGCCGCTATCGGTTCGATACGATACGTTAACGGCTCGATACCGTTCTCGGTCGTCACATTTGTTGAAACAACCATGTTTACATGCCGCTTGCTAGCACTCCAAAGCGCAAGCCACTCGCGTAACCGTTCCAGACCCCCTTCCAGACCCCGTTCCAGACCCGTTCCAGACGTGTTCCGGACGCTTGCCACCAAGTCCACATGCACACACACACACACATGCCCCACGTAAGACGTGGCCCACCATGCCGCCCAAGAAGCCTTCAAGGACGACTTATGCCAGGGCTTTGGAGACGCCACAGAAGTCAATGAAGGACGCCCTGGACATGTGCATGTGCATCGGTGGACAATGCCTCCCAGCCTTGCGCGTCGGGTAACGCGGGCGGCGGGATTGACTACGGCGCATCGGTGTCCAACGATGGCGGGGGAGGTGCCGAATTGTAAGGCCGCGCGCCCCTGGTCGCTTCATGCATCCATCTACCCATCCATCCATTCATCCATCCATCTATCCATCTTACACTAAATGAACGTGTGCTTGAGGACTCCACACATGTCTTCCCAGAGGTCCGGAACAACCAACCTTACGTAACTGACTCGTCCGCGTCACTGCGGAATGTTCCACACCAGAATGTTGACCCATACCCACATGTTGATTAATTTGTGAAGGCAAGGCAACCCATTTGATCCCATGGCTGTGTCATCGGAACTCGGCCCCCTCCCCAAACAAAAATCCTAAAAAAACTGGGCGAAAGGGCTATCAATTTTCCACCACCCCCCTCCCCGTGGTGTCGGGGTTTCGGGTGCCCAGCAAGGTGATCACTGATAAAATCTCCGACTACCTCTGCGAATCGATCCACGGGGTGACGGGCAGTGTGAACCTGGACTTTTTGGGGACCATCGCGCTTTGGACCGCACTGACGCGCCGAGCTTGGGCCGCCCCCTTTCGGGTTTGGGGGTTCGGGGGCCCCAGGAAAAAAGGGAGGCCTCGCTGCCGCAAGGGGAAGTATCAGCCAGTTCTGGAGTTGAAGTTGAAGTTTACCTTGGTGTAGTCAGAAAAAGGGAGCCCAGGGACGGACAACTGTGAATGACACTTGCGGCAGAGTTTGGTATGGATCCTAATGGCTAAGTTGCTGCCAATTGCTGGCAACGCCTGTGAGCACCTGGGGGCCGTGAGATTTGCGATGGACGACAAGCCCGGATTGGCCGTGGCTTGGGTTGCAGACGCCGACGGGTTCGGGCGTTTCTGGGAGGCGACTGGTTCGATTTAAATATGGAACCCCCTGGAAAGTGGTTGGTGGACACAAAACCCCACCTAAATGATGTCCAGCAAAGGGTCCCATGTCAATCTTGGCGCAAGGCGCAAGTTGCACGCAAGGCGCCAGGATGCGCCAGGTTTGGAGAGCCGCGGATCCGAGAAAACTAGAAGCCAGAGAGTGGCACCAGAGCCCAGTCCAGTCACCAGAACTTTCTCAGGTTGGCATTGCCGTCGGCTCCTCGTACCTTGGCTCAACGGTAGCTTTCATGAAGCCCAACCATACTGTGGATGGACGAAATCCTGCACCACCTATGAAGCCCTGGAATGATGATTCCCCTGCAAGTACCAACCAGCACTGGTTTCCCACGATGTCCAAGTGGTGCAGGATTTCGTCCATCCACAGTACGGGGTCACTGATGGACAACAACCCCTTCGCACCACTTGGGCTTGGTGACGAAAGTATTCATAGGGTATCATCCATCCCAACTTCATGTTCCAATGGATCCAAGTGGAGGGTCCCTGGATCGCCAGGCGCGATCGCTTTTTGCCATCCACTTGACCCCAAAAACCGATCGCGACAGCGACTGAAAAAAGCCATCGCAACTCGGCCATCTAGGTAGCACGTCTTGTGCCACGCATGTCTTGTGATGTCACTGACGAAAAACCGCACAAGCCGCCCCCGCCAGCGCCAAAACTGGAGGGCCCTTTTTCCCGCTCGCTGCCTTCCGCTCCGCGGCCCTGGCACCGACGGGGCGACGGGGGGGGGGGGGGCGCCGAGGACCCAAGTGGCCCTGTTCGTGGTGCCCTTCGCGGTGATCGTCGGCTGGATGCGGGGCCCCCGGAGAGGACTCGGCCCCCGGACTGATCAGAGGACAGCTGAAGAGACGGCGAGCGTCGTTTTTCGCGCAGGGGTTCAAAGGGGTGCCTTAAAAAACGGGTTCAAAGGGGTGCCTTTTAAAGAGCGCGATCGTTTTTGGTGGGGGGATGTGCCCTTTAAAGAGCGCGATCGTTTTGGGGGGGGGGGGTTGTGCCCTTTAAAGAACGCGATCGTTTTTTTTTGGGGGGGGAAAAGCCACTGTTGAGACAAGTCCATGACTGCATATTGGATTTTGTTTTGCTCTAGGCAGCTGGGAGTGCCAAACTTGCGCTCAAGTGGTTGGGAGCTATGATGGTTCTCACTGTTGAGACCAATCCATGAGGCCACGGTTCAAAAACCAATGGCACCATTTTGGGGTTTTCGGTGCACCACCCATTTCAGTCTCCCATTTTAAGAACCTATTTTAGTGGTTGGATTGGGATGTTCACTGGGGGTACGATTTGGCTATTGACCCATGACCAAATATTAAACAACACCTACTTTTAAAATATGTTTGGAGAATATGTCTGGGTGTTTCCCCATGCATCCCCTGAGGCTTTCAGCTTGTTTAGTTGGCTTTTGACCCACCATTTGTCAGTCTCTTTGTGTCTCTTGGCCACTTCTGCGGCTGAGACTGGACGTGCCCATGACGCTGGACTTTGGGCTGATCAACACGGCGCCTTGGAGAAACGAAAAAACGCGGGCCGCGTGGAGCATGCACGCTCACGCGAGTCAAGGGAGCGAGTGAACCCCCGCTTCCCGTGGAGGTTCGTTTCCTGGGCCAGCTTTTTTGATTTGAATAGCTGGGCCTCCAGTTTTGAATTTCCGCTCGACGTCTCGGCCGGGCCAGGTTGTACTTTATTGCATATCACCCTTTTTCGTATTTTTGGTGAATCCCTGACTGGTTCTTCACAGTTGGGGGCCTGTTTTTCAAACTCTGACCTTCCTTGGTGCGACGTGCCCAGCTGGTGGGCGATTCGCGATGCGGCTTGCCGAACTGGGAGCTTTGAGAGATGGACCTGCGGGATAGCACCCGAGAGAGAGGGAGGGAGAGTGCTAGGTCGACGCGTCCGGATCTAGAGCGTGCCGAAAAACAAAAAGGGGGCATGAAATGCGACCAGAGCTGCGAAGATCCTCATTTGGACCTGGGACCTGGCGAAGTCGTTTTCTGGGCCTGTGGGATCTTTTTTTCTTCAGGCGGTGATCTTTTTTTCGGTGCTGCTGGTCACGGTGCTGATGGCGGATGGGAGGTCGCACTGGCTGAAGGGCTACTTGCTGATGCTGGCGTACACCTTCATTGCGGCGCCATGGCGCGCCATTATTTCTTTTTTGGTGTTGTTTTTGTTTGTGTTTTTTCATTCTTTGTATTTTTTTTATTTTTTTTTTTGGGGGGGGGGCGAGTTTTTGGACGTTGGGGGGTTTCCTGCGGCTTCGGACTGGTTTCGGGGTTTGTTTAGGTGGGGCTATGTAGGGAGGTTGGTTTGGGGCTGGTTTCGGGTTGGTGCCTGTCTTCCGTGTGGCTTGTAAAGGGTCCGCGCGTGTGTTGCACCGTCTTTGGATGTGATGCAGGTTGCCACGCGCAGAATCAACTGATTGAAAGGCATCAATGTTCACCCTTAGCTCACTTCCTCAGTGCCTGGACTTTAATTTTTTGGGAAGACCAAATTTTGTGGTAAACAAAACAGTTTGGGCTTTTTCTGGCCAATCTGCTCGGGAAGTGAGATAGAGGGTCCCAAAGATTTTACCCAAGTTCGCAGCTGCCACGCTGGGAAGGTACTTTTCTGGAATTTGCCGCCGAAGATGAGCTGAGCTGAGCTGTGGAAGTGCCCGTTTGCCCTGATCCTGAGCTTGCCCTGTGTCCAGCCGGCAAGCCGCATGGTGCTTTCCCTCGTGCACGGTGCGTGCCTACAGCCTGCCTGCCAGCCCTTGATATCTGGGTTCCGGAGGTCGGAGAAAGCCGAAAAACGTCTCTTCGCGTTTTTGTTTTGGCCATCGGCAAATCGCAGGATGGGGCGGGACAGTGATCTCATTGATCTCTTAGGTAAAGGAATTCGCGCACGGAAATGAGCGAGCGGGGCAGCCGTGCAGCTATGCCGCTGGATAGGAGCTGAAGCTGGTGTTTAAACAGTGCGCCTATTTTTTTGGTGTTTGTTCAATCACCCCCCCCCCCCAAAAAAAAAGAGGCATCGGTTTCCCTTTGAATACCCCGGATCTTTTAAAAAGACGAGCTTTCGCCGAGTATGGGACTCCTGTTTGGGCCTGGGCCTTTAGGCTCGAGGTCCGCATTCGCAGTCAGAACTCTGCTTGATTGGTTGACCTTGAGCCAATAACTTAGTCTCCTGTGCCCAGGGGTACCCGTTCCCCCCCCCCCTTTTTTTTGGCGGGGGGGAAGTGTGTGCCCAGTTGCCCAGGGGCACCCGTTTTACCCTCTTTTTTTTGTTTTGGGCAGGGTTCCGTCAACCAGCCAAAAAAAAGATGCCCTTTTTTGCCTATGGAAATCCACTGGGCATCTGAGTTTCGATGCGGCATTTTCGAGGCGTGGAAAGCTCGGGAGGTTCCTAGCCTGCATGCCAGCAAAATGATTCCAAGTGATTGGGCTTGAATGTCTCGACGCATGGGGGGGGGGCAGCGGGACCACATGGAAACACCTTTCACCGTTTTGCTGCACTGATCATCCATGAGGAGGGACATGATTGAACCGTTTATGTGTGCCATGCATGCACGCACGCACACTTATATATGGCATATGTATATATATATATATATGTATTTATACACGGAGTGTTTTTATCTATGCAGATATGTAAATACGAATAGGTAGATGCATTTATCTTCAAGTGAGAGTGACAACTCGTCGTGCTATACTTATGTCACACGCATAATACATACATGCATAATACAGGTTTGTGTACATGTCTTGACTGCTAATGGGTTGGATCGTTAGACTTTAATTTCTTGGTTGAAATCAAGGGGTAAGACCAGCAAACCCCCCAACAAGTGAAGCTCACTTTTTGCAGGGGGGTCGGTCAACAGCAACCAAGATGTAGTACAATCTAGCCTCCCACCAGCTAACATGGAAGTGCAGAAAGACTACTTTCCTCTTGGAAAAACTGCCTTTTTGCACTTCCAGGTTAGTTGGTGGGTACATGTAACGCTGTATGTGTACACGTAATGGTATGTTCACTTCTGGGCAGCGCTCGGATCATGCTCCGAGGTTGCACTTGGCGGCCGCACGGCTGCCTGCTGGGCGGTCGCTGGCTCCGGCCAGCCGACCGCCGCAGCGCCCTGGTGGTTTGCAGCGACCCGTTGGAGGAGGAGCCTTCCGGTTTTTGGGCCCCCCCGGTGGTTGCTTTGCCGCATCTTGCCAAGGGATGTTAGGACTCTAACCTTTTGGACAACAAAGGGCTTTTCCATGAAACCACTAAACTTTGAGCAGGGGAGCAGAAAGCAACCGAGGTTGGTATGCAAATGGAACCGAACAGGAAACCCACCGGGATAGAAAGCGAACTCGATGAGGATGAACGCCAGTTAGAGGGAACCCTGCGTTTCAGTTTGGAAATCATGCAAGTTGCGGAGACCAGACCGCTCAATTGGCTCGAGCGCGTCTTGCGAAGGAACCAGCGCAAACACATGTAAAATACATTAGCCAGCCCGCCCCACTTGAGATGTCGGTTTGGCAATTCTGGGAGCAAGCCTCCGTCCCCCATCAATGTCCAACCAAACGTTTCCGTACCCCGGCAAAGGGCCTCCTAATAGATGGCTGAATCGGGCAACTCGGACCACCCCCCCTCCCCCCCCAAAAAAAAGAGGATGCCCGCTGGAGTTTGATTTCTGCTCCCT